GCTGGTATTTTAGTCATCTTTATTTGATGGCCTTTGTGGATGTTATGATTAATTGTGTATGATTTTTTATGCTATTGCAGTAGAAGCAGTCAACATAATAGCCACCTAAGCATCATCATCCCTAACAGCCCTGGTAGTGAGAAATGGCAGTAATGAACATTAATTAGGTTTCCAATGTGTCAGGCATTGTGTGGAGCCCTTTGTGAGGATCATATATTAGGTGGGTACCATGAGTCTCCTTATTTTTACGGAAGACCGATGCTTACAAATGTTAAGGAACTCACCAAAAAAGCCACAGAACCAGTCGCTGACCTGGGATTTTAAGTCTCATGTCAGAGTGTATGCTCTTAAACCAGTTCACAGTGATGCATCCATTCATTCATTCAAGAAGTCTTCATCAGGAAGACTGTCGATGAAGTGCTGGGCACTATTCCAGCACTGGGGTTCAGCTATAATTAAAAGAGAAGTCACAGACCCCATGGAGCCTCATGTGCTATTTGGAGGATACAGACACTCAACATGTAAAACAAACAGACCAGTACGTGAGGGGATGATAAGTCTAGAGAGAAGAAATGGAAGGGATGTGGGGGAGGAGAAATAGAAGAAGATATGGGGGAGGAGGCAAGAAATAAAATTAAGTATCTGGAAGGCCTCAGGGAGCAGGTGGCATTTGAAGAAAGACTGAAGGAGATGAGGGAGCCAGCTGGGAAGAAATACTGGGGATAACAGCATTCCAAGCAGACAGAACAGCAAGAGAAAAGGTTCTGAGTCAGCAGGGGGCCTCTGAGCCCATCTAAGGCTCTTCCCCTGAATTGCATGGAAAGGCATTGGTGGTTTGAACAGCCAGGGGGACAAATTAGGAGATATTTTTTAATATTATAAGGAGGAGATGATGGGGACTTGGGCCAGGATGGTAGTGGCACATAGTATGAAAGACAGATTGTAGATATATTTCAAAGATAGAGCCCATAGGATCTTGTGATGGATTGGTTGTGGGGAGACAGACAAGAGCAGATAGAAATGCAACAGAGGTTTGGGGCGCCTGGGTGGCTCAGTTGGTTAAGCGAATGCCTTCGGCTCAGGTCATGATCCTGGAGTCCCGGGATCGAGTCCCGCATCGGGCTCCCTACTCGGCGGGGAGTCTGCTTCTCCCTCTGCCCTCTTCCCTCTCGTGCTCTCTGTCTCTCATTCTCTCTCTCTCAAATAAATAAATAAAATCTTAAAAAAAAAAAAAGATTGTTTAAAAAAAAAAAAAGAAATGCAACAGAGGTTTGTTTGCTGTTTTTTTGCTTGCCTGATTAATTTTTACCAGGGCAATTAAAATGTTGGGACCTCTAGTGGCCAAGATGCAGACTCCAGGAGAAGCTGGTTTGGAAGAAACAATCAAGGGTTTGGATGCATTAAGTTTGAGACTCTTAGTCATCCAGATGGGGATGCAGGCTAGACTGGAGAAGAGGCCCTTGATGTACAAGAGCATCATGATGTGATTTAAAGGCGAGTAATCGAGAGACTGCATGTAGATTAAGTGAATAGCTCTGAATTTAAACTCCGAGGCATGCAGGGCAATTATCGATTGGAAATTCTCTTTGTTGCAAAGGAAGAAACCAAGTGAGGACAGTTATATGACACCATCTAAGCCATACACTCAGGTTAATGATGTGCAAATCGCCTGATTCACCATCTCTCTAAGAAAACATTTTTAGTGTCTTTTGTGGATTAGCCAGATAATTAGAGACAATCGCCTCCTTTCCTCCCTCCCCAAGCCCCCCAAATTGTGGCACTGACATTTCTGAACAAACACTTTATCCAGGATGCAGCTTGAGACCTCCATGAACCATTGGAGCTCAAGCTGGAGAAGGCAGATGTAAAGGTACTGAGACTTTTGAGTTAAAGGAGTTGAATTTCATTAAGCCTTTTGATGTTTACAGAAAAGAGTAAGTCTGGATGGAAAATGATTGCTTAATTGCTTGAACTATATAGGATCTCAACTAAAAGTGACCATTTATCTTTGATTCATGTGAATGGAGCTAGTCTTAAAATGTCTCATGTCCCACTGTAAAATCACTTAAATGTATAGAATTTGTAAAAACTTCACTCAATGAAAACATCTAGATCTGAAAAGCCACTATGCCATTGGACACTTCTGGACAGAAAGATATCTATAATCCCCATATCCTTCCACCAATCCTCACTCACCTTTGATTATACCAAACAAATAATACAATCAGAATCAATGTTATGCTTTCATTACATATTCACAGATATTATCTTAGTCAATACTTCCAACATCATGAAATAGTGTTCACTGTACAGATTAGAAAACTGAGGCCAAGAGAAGTCAAGGTCATGGAGCTCATGAGTAATAGAAGCAGAATTGGCTCTTTCCTCCTTTTCCAAATCTGAGGGAGCATTCCTTGTCACAGCAGCTGCTTACCATGAAATGTTGTTTTCTTGTTTAATTATAAACCCCCCCAAACATGGTTCTAATCCACAGACACTTGTCTGGATTCCATATATAAAACAACTCTGTCATATTAGTTCCTCAAGAGGCTTATGAACTGCAAAGTCACACATCACCCTGTAGTTCAATGTGCACGTATGAGTGCCTACTTTGAACAGAAGTCATGCCGGAGCCCTGGCTGAAACTTACACAAGGCACATGCTGGTCTAGGCTCTATGCAGCCTGGGTTAATACCACTAACACTTCTTACTTTGGACAGAGGGTCTATACCATTCCCTGAAGCCATTCTTCCCTATTACTTGGGACCTCCATGAAAACTTCAGTTTGCAGTGTTTTCTGACAACTATGTAATCAGCCTCTTTCATTTATATAAATCAATCACATCTTAAGAAGACTTTTAAAAAATTAACTGGTGATAAAACCAGTATTAATAAATAAGACCAGATTTTACTGATTATGTCTTTGACCCTTCTCTCCATGAACAATAACCATCATTCTATAGATATTCTAAAATCTGCCTGAGTAGTAATGCAGACAAGATTAATAAATCCTGAGAAAGTAGACTGCTCACTGGCATCCAATATACAATATGTACAATATAAAATGAATACAAACTAAACTAAATTTCCTTTCCTTCTGCTTCAAATACCTGTCTGTAAACATTGGCACACATATAGGACCATATTATGTCAGCTGTAATAATATAGAAAAATAATCTTCATTACCATAAACTAGAAAGTCATGGTAACTAGTCTTTCAAAAAAATCACCAAGTGTCACAATTTGGCATACACTCCAATCCTTATGAATAATTCACATTTTGTGCATTAATAATGCATGTCTTCTTCCTATTGGAATGCTCCCTAACACAGAATGGATTTCTCTTATCAATTTCCTCAACTGACATGATGGAGTAAATCTAAAATTAGAATGGTGTTTTTAATGCTCCCTTTAAAACTGTAACAACTCAGCTGGCCCTTAAGGTTATCAAAAACATAAAGCTCCTGTTATTTCTTGCCCTTTGCATGGGAGTCACTAGGTTAAGTACCCTAACAATAGTTACTCCTGCTGATGAGAAGAGTATGTGCATGGCGGAAAAGATCAAAGAAACTTGCACAGGGCTGATAGGGATTGGTTAGTTCTGTTACAGTTCTTCCTAATTATATATGTATATATTCACAGTAACACGGGACATAATTGCTAAAACATGGTAACCAGCAGGGAAAAAAAGAAAGAAAGCAAGCAAAGGGTCAAAACAAATCAGGCAAGAGTTTCTAATAATTACAGATGTTTCCTCTCATCCTCCCTAGCTGGTTACCACTGTGAAATCTCTTTTCAATTTTCAGTAAAATTATCTAGCACATAAAAAAGTACAAAGACCAAGGAAGAGAAAGGTGCCAATGACACGTTATTTGTGGGGAAAGACATTCAATTTATCACTGTAACTATACTCCCAGTGTGGTCATTGCACACCATTGCTGATATTATTTCAGACATTACTAAACTTTCTGCCCACCCCCAACATCCAAACACACCCACTAAACAAAAACAGCAACAATATTTGACACAAAGCAAAGAGAAATGAGGTAGGTTGGAATCTGGGGGGAAAAAAATCAGTCCAGTATCATCCCCTTCTCTGGAGAATTCCTTCACCATCACTCCATCTCAAAGAGAAGCTGCATGAGTTCTGTCTGAAGTCCTATCAATGAATAGCAAAGGGAAAGGGGGCAAAAGAGAGCCATCCCTATGCCAACATCTGTCCCCTACAAGTACCCTCAGGCTCATTCATTCTTTCTTGTGGTTCATATTTAGGGAGCACCTGCTCTGTGCCAGGTATTATGTTCCACCCTAAATAATCTTCCATTGGGTTTCCAATGTGTATTCCAGCAACAGAAATCCACCACCCGGGATAAGGAAGAGAGAAAATTCAGATTCGGGTATCCACCCCAAGTTGGCCTGGCCAGAGGCCAGCACACACCGCCTTAGCCAACACCTGGGACAGCGGTGGGTCATTGTCCAGGATTCGATGCCCAAAGAGACCTTCCGCTTGGCAGCAGTGTCTCCCTGGGGTCAGGGGGTCACTGACCTTGTTCACACCGAGAGCGCCTGCCCTCTTCCTCAGCTAGCCTCCCACCCCCTGGAAAAGTTAAGTTGGCAGCGAGTGCGAAGAGGGGCACCAGGGGCATCCTGCAGGCTCAGCACCCCCAGCCGGCTTTCTCAGCTCCAACTCCCTTGGCTACCGAGAAATATTTATTTCCAGTCGATGCGCTCCAGTGGCTACTGAAGCCGAACACGCGGCCACCATCAGAAAGCCAAGTCATCCGAGAGATAAAGACAGATCCATTACATACCTAGACCCGGCTTTACAAAAGGGGCAGCCGCAGGCGATTGTGAATTTCGGCTGAGAAAGCCACAGTGCAATTCACCAGCGCGCAGCCGGGGAATCTCCTGCCAGCCTCCAGGGATGCTGGCGAAGGATGAAGACAATTGAACGCACGAACAGGGGAAAAAAAAAAAAAAAAAAAAAGGATCATACTTACCCCTAGGCGTCTGCTCCGGATCCTCACGTACCCTTGTTTCACTATGTCATTAAAATTGGAAGCCATCCCGGGCAGCCGGTGACCCCCCTCACCCGAGCACCCGCACCCGAAGTGGCTTTGGGGAGGGTTAAGGGCAGGGTCAGGAGAAAGTTGAAAAGGCGAAGCTGCTTCGGCTGCGGCTCGGCGCGGCTTTAGAAGGCGCACATCACTTTGTCCCCCGAACCCCTGAAAGTGGGCGGCCGGCTGGCAGCCACTTTGGGGGAGCGCGGAGAGCGCAGCGCAGCGCCGCGAGGCGAGGCTGGAGCGCCGCCGTCAGCTGACTCATCAGCCAGCCTGCCAGGAGGAGGAGCGGCGGCTGCTCAGGGCTGCAGCCCTGCCTCTTCCCGGGGCCCGGCAGGGGGGGGGGCGGGGGGAGGGGCGGGAGGTAGGGCAGGAGGAGGAGGAGGTAGAGGGAAGAGAAGGACGACCGCGGAGTGGTGGGAGCCCCCGCCACCCGGCCCTGCCGAGGTGGAGGAGCCGCGCGGGTCCCAGCGCCCGGCTGCGGCCACCCGAGGGCGGCCACCCCTGAACGCGCTCGCACCCCTCCCCTCCCCTCCGCTCCCGCCCACCTTGCCCGACCCGCCTCCCCTTCCGATGCCTCCCCGCCTCCAGGACCCCGGGCGCGCCCCAGCCCGCCCCCGCACCTGGCCGACAGCCTGCCGAGATAGCGCGCCCTCTCTTCTCGCTCTGGCGGCTGATTTTAGGAGGAGAAGAAATTTCACTTTTTCACAGCCACCGCCTACCCCGCCTCTCCCTTCAGCCCCATCTCTTTTGAAGGGCCGATTTTTACCTCTGTTGTGCGGGTGTCCGGGGAGGCGGTGTTGCCGTGGTTTGCCTTGACCTTGGCATAGGAGGGGAGGGAAATTGCCCTGGCTTAAGCTACATAAGAGCTTCCTCCGGTTTCCTTGGCATCCTGGACCCAGCCTTCGGTGGTATCATTTGCTACATTTTCCTTGTTTGAGCTTGTCTTTCCCGCCCGAATGGAAGTTTCCCAGGGGCTAACCCTTGGCCTCATTAATATGTGTACCCCCAAAGCCTAGTCCGTAGCAGGTGCTTGATAAATTCTTAGTGCCTGTCAAAGCTCTAAGCCGCATGCACGGATTAACTCACTTAAACTCCCCTGTACCTATGAGATACGTCTTCCCTTATGTAAATACCAGGCCCATATTTATACCCCAGTAGCCTAGCAATGGAGCTCTCAGAACCATTAAGGGATACTGCCTATAGAATAAGACGAAAAGGGGAACAGATTTTGCACTCACTGCCCCTGAATGCACTACCCTCCTGAAGCATGCTTGAGTTGATACCCACTGACATTTATTGGGCACCAGGCTGCCAGACATGGTCCTAATACTGTTAAAGGAATAATGAGATACCTACTATCCCGCACATTTACCAATGAGATACTACTATCGCGCACATGGAAACTGAAGCTCCAACAAATTGAGACTTGCCCCAGGTACCACAGGACAGGGACTGAAGGGAGATATGTGTGATACCAGCTTTGTCCTATAGCCCTTCTGAAGAGCAGACGTCATGAGGGAGGGAGCTTCCTTCCTTTCCAAGGAAGATCTTTCTAATCATTTGCCCTGTCTGCAAAGGCACAAAGACAGCATCAGAAATGGACAGTTCTTGTTCACGGGAGGTGACCAAACCAAGGCTGGATGACCTGTGGTCAGAGCTATGGAGAACAAAGTTCATTTATTGAGTGGACTATTTGACCTGATGAGATTTGAAGACCTTTCAACTCTAAGATTGTATCAATCTTGCCTTTCTGGCCAGGAACGCTAGCTTTTAGTCACTTTGGTTTGGTACGTGTCAGATAAAAAAGAGAATCACCCAAGAATGTGTCGTAGGAGGACTGAGACAATCAAAAGGCAAATATTCTGGAAGGAGAATGCTTTTTGCTATCTAGTAAATCATTAGCTCTGTCATTGTGTTGCCATTTGATATAAATGATGTTTTAAGTTTAAATCTCTCACCAAAGAAGGATGAAATAAAATCATTTGATTAGTTCTTTTTGAAGGCTTAGAACTTAAAAAAATACTGTCCATGGTTGCCACGAAATAGATGTGTTCATGGAAGACATTTATCTAACACATCTCTATAGACCAAATCAACAGTATCATAGAAACAAAGAATGAGGCATAAGGACCTAGAAGTGAATGGCTCAAGATAAAAGAATTACCGACAAAACCTGAAGCTGAGAAATCCATCCCGTGATAATTAATGTTGAGTATAATCTACATCCATAAATAATTAAGCCAGACATGAGGAAACTAGAATCAAACTAGAAAATATCAAACTGGTTGTGAAGAGACAAGTGATTTTTTTTTAACTGCAGGACAGAACCCAATATATGGTTTTATTTGTTTGTTTGTTTTTGGTTAAATCAAACCATTAAATGTGGAAAATACACAGATTGTACTATTCATAGGATGGACAGCCACTTGTTCTTGTCCAAAACGTGTAATACACAACCGTGGCAGAAGAGGAAAAGAGGAATTCAGAGATATACAAGTATAAGTATGTGCATATATATATATATGTAGTGCTTATAGATTTGCATAGTGCACAACTCACAAAACTATTCGCTGCGAAATGAACATAGTCACACACAATTCAGTTTCACTGGGGATAAGGGTGACACACAGACAGAAATCATTATTTGGGGCACCTGGGTGGCTCAGTCAGTTAAGCATCCTACTCTTGATTTTGGCTCACATCATAATCTCGGGGTCCTGCGATCAAGCCCCACATAGGGCTCTGAGCTCAGTGGGGAGTCTGCTTGTCTCCCTCTCCCTCTCCCCCTGCTCTCTCTTTCTCTCTCTCTAAAATAAATCATTTTAAAAAATCATTATTTCAATCCCTGTTTTTAACTCAATTTCCAACACTTTAAGCTTCTTATTTGTTTCCTCAGCATCCAAACTCCCTTCTGCCAACAGTGGTCATCACATTCACTTTGAGTATGCTTAATCCCTTGCTCTCGGTCTAAACTGGGGGAATAAGAGTTGATTGCATTAAAATGAAATAAGTGTGAGATCAAAATGAATTACATACAGTAGTACTTTTCTCTTCTTTGGACATCTTGTTGATAAGAAGCAAAACTGTGTCATGAATTGAAATAGAAGTTCATAACCACCATGTTGCAGAGCCAGAAATTAATCCATAGTTCCCCTACTCCGACATATTCAAAGTGGAAACCCACTCTAGCCTGAAACATGAATGACTCATGCCATTCCCTCGGTATTCCATTCAGCCAACTATTATTATTATTATAAAGCTCTTCAGGACAGAAAATTATGTGCAGAAATCCAGAGGCTTCTGCACTTTTCCAGAGTAGGTGATGGGTTCCCATGCTTCGCCCAAGAAGAGTGTACTTTCACCAAGTACCGCAAAGTACCAGGGCAGAGGCTGAAATGGCACTTGTCCAGTATCTTTACCAAAAATAGCTTGAGCTTTGGCCCCATTGCAGGCTGCTCTCAGTGGGAGAGTCCAGAAACAGGCAGCCTTTCCCCTGGCAAGGGGAGACAGTGCTAATGAAAATGATTTGGCTATCACTAAGGAGAGAGGGTATTTGCTGGGCGGCCAGGTCCCCCTCCACCAGTCCTTACCCACCTAAAGAAGGATGGCTTGGAAGATGACACTGAAATCAGGTGAGAGAAAACCTGGAAGCAGGTCTGCTTCTGTCATTCATTGCTTCCTTGTTTCCGTCCTGCCTTCAACAAATATTGACTGAGGACCTGCTATGGGTGGAGACTGTCCACAGTAAGTTTTCACTCACATACACAACACACACACACACACACACACCCCACACACAAACAAAATCCTTGTCACCACGGGGCCTATATCCCAGGAGGAGAGAGAAAAAACAAACAAGCAGATAAATAGTTTAAATAACTATAGATGACAGTTTAAAGAACAGAAGTGGTATGTTATGTGGGGGGTAAAGGAAGCCTTACTTTGAGTAAGAGAGAGTCAGGGAAGACTTCTCTGAGGAGGTGATATTTAAGCTAAGACACAAAAGATGGGAAGAAGCTATGGGAAATGTTGGGGAGGTGCATTCCAGCTAGAGTGAAGAGCACTTGAGAAAGCCAAATGCAGGAAAGTTATATATATTTTAAAGATTTTATTTACTTATTTTAGAGAGAGAGAGTGCGCAAGTACAGGGGGAGGGGCAGAGGAAGAGGGAGAGAATCTCAAGCAGACTCCATGCTGAGCACGGAGCCTGACACAGGACTTGATCTCAGGATCCTGTGATCATGACCTGAACCCAAACCAAGAGTCAGATGCTGGACTGCCTGAGCCACCCAGGCACCCCAGGAAAGTTATATTTTTAAAATATTATTCTGTCTGATGAATAAAAAATAGATTACAAGGAACTGGACTGGAAGTGGTAAGACCATATAAAAAAATCTACTTCTAAAGATCTGTACCCAAAAATCTTTAAGAAAAGAGAAATGAAGCTTCCACAAAGAATGTAAATTGATATCAACTGATACAACTGTTTTGAAGCATAAGTGATATCTATCAAAAAATTTTTAAAACTTTTATAATTGCTGATCCAGTTCTGGAAATGTATCCAAAGTCACAAAGGTTTAGTTATGAGAATATTCACAGCAGCATTATTTGTGATAATATGCATAATTATCTTCATATTATATATATATATAACTTAATATAATATGTATACATCTAAACATATATTTTACATGGAAGTGGGTACATACATGCAACCAAATTTCTGAAGGAACTGGGATCAATCGAGTATAATCTTTTCCCATTAAACTTTGCTTATTGAAAAGTTATTTATCTACACCTGAATGAAATCTCCAGAAGGTCTCTGGCTTTTTTGGCTACTACTAGGTAATGAAGAGTCATCTCAGCCTAATAGCCCTATAACACTGAATATCATTCAATTACGTTTTATCCCTTACCCCAGTCCAGGACTAGGAGTGTGGGGGTTGGAGATGGCTTCTTCACTGGTTTTCTGCTCTGCCTCCTCTTCTATGTAATAACTAAAGGCTTCTGGCCTCCACAGGATTGGAGGGCAGGGGGAAAGGAAAGGAAAGTTTTGCTTGCTCCAAGTCTTTCCTTGGAGTTGATGCCCTCTGGGTAACAGGTATATAATGTTTGCTCTTTCTCTCAAGGAGCTTTTGTGAGTTCCTTAGAGACGCACCTGCTAAGAGCTCTATCTCCAATGCCCTTCTCAGGCTGGCTGCTTTTATTCTTGTGAAGACCCCAGGGTCTCATGCTCCAGGCCTATGTTGGGTTTTTGCCCTTCCAGTTGGTTCTCTTGGTGGATCTAGTCTAAGACAAGCCCTACCTGGCCAGAGGAAGAACTCACTCAGTATTGCCCATGCCAGTGAATGGTCAGCTCACTCCCAAGGCGGCCACTTGTTCTTAGCTCTGCCTTAAGTCAAGTCAACCAGTTGACCCCGGGCCTCCTCCTTTACAATATTAAGGAGTCTACCACCAGTCCTTGTGTCCTCTGCACTTATGTCCAGCCTTCTGAGTGATTCTCTTGAAAATCACTCCCTTGCTCTA